GAGGGCTTATTGGTTCTTTAATATATCTCACAGCAAGTAGACCTGACATTATGTTTAGTGTTTGTATGTGTGCTAGGTTTCAATCTGCACCAAAAGAATCTTATCTTACTGCTTCAAAAAGGATCCTCAAATATATCAAAGGGACTTTAAATGTTGGGTTATGGTATCCTGGTGAGTCCAAACTAAATTTAATTGGATACTCTGACTCAGATTTTGCAGGGTGTAAGTTTGACAGGAAAAGCACCAGTGGCACTTGTCATCTTCTTGGAACCAGTCTAATCTCATGGCATAGTAAAAAATAAGCATGTGTTGCTCTTTATGCAGCTGAAACCGAGTACATTGCAGCTGGAAGTTGTTGTGCTCAATCCCTTTGGCTCAAACAACAGCTTAAAGATTATGGTTTAATTCTCAGTAAAATTCCTCTTTTATGTGATAATACCAGGGCCATTATATTAACAAAAAATCCAATTCAACATTCTAGGACAAAACATATAGAAATTATACATCATTTCATTAGAGATCATGTTTTGAAAGGTGATTGTGAAATTTTCTTTATAGAAACTGAAAACAATTAGCTGATATTTTCACAAAACCCCTTGCTCGTGATCGATTTTATAAAATTCGAACTGAATTAGGCATTTTAGATGCATCAAACATCACTTAGTTTCCAAATCTGGTTGTTTTAATTGATAAAAATAAGCTTTAATCGATTAAAAGCACTTATACAAAAATTTTCATACTATTTTAATCGATTAAATGTCGATTTAATCGATTAAAAGCACTTATGTTTTTAGATTTCAATTTTCATTACTATTTTAATCAATTAAAACATTATTTGTATCAATTAAAATCAGTAACAAGAACAATATAATCGATTATGCCCTGTTTTTAATCGATTATTACTCTGAAAAGAGAATTAAAGGCTTTAGTCAATGGTTGTTCTTATAACATGCTATTAAAGCATGGTTCCCTTATCTTTATATGTGTCTATTGTATTCATTACAAACGTGTTAATGAAGATAAGTTTGAATCAACTTTAATTGGTTCTTAAAAGAGTAATACATCTCAATAGTGTCATAATTTTGTTTAAATATTATTTTCAAAATAAGTTTGGTATATATCTTGCATAGTGTTTGTTTTTCTCCTCTCTTCCCTATTTTTGATGAAGTCAAAGGGGGAGAAATGATTGTTTGATAAATTTTTTATTTTAGGGGGAGCAGTAATATAGGGGGAGAAATGGGAGAAATTATTAATTTTTGAATACTCACTAATCTATATATTCAAGTGACTTCTTCTGCAGAGATATTATTCAAATAGGTGTTTGTCTTCATCAAATAGGGGGAGACTGAAAGTGATGAAGATCTTATTGAATCATTTGATTAAACGAAGATCTTGTTGATTTGATGAAGTCAAAATGAAGTCAAAGACTATTCTGTTGCAGTCAAAGGTTACTTGGATAAAAGGGTAGAGTGGTTAGTGAGTCTGCATCTATACTTAGGTATAATCATTCTTATCTCTCTGCTGCATGAGGTTTCTTCATTTAAAAGATTTTGCAAATGTCTCTAAAACGTGTTTAAACTGTTAAAAATAAAGTAATTTGTTAAATGGATTTTAAGTAAACTATTTTAAAATGTTCTTAACACTTTCGTTACAAGTTTTTAACTGATAGGTTTTTGAAATAATCAATTAAAACCTTTTAAAACATACACTGGAACTGTTTTAATTGATATGTCTTCGAAATAATCGATTGTTTTCATTAAAAGAATTTTTGAAAACCTTCTACCAGCATTTTAACTGATGTAGAATCGAAATAATCGATTAAAATGACTTAAGTTGTTTTGAAAAGTGTTCTGGCAGAATTTTAATCGATACAAACTCAAAATAATCGATTAAAATAACTTGAAGTGTTTTGAAAGATGTTCTGTCAGTATTTTAATCAATACAAATGCGAATTAATCGATTAAAACAACTAAGAGATTTTTTTCAAAGTATTTAATCGATTAAAACAAGTTGTTATCAGTTAAAATAACTTAGAAAGTTTTATGAAACTTTTTGGCAGAATTCTAATCGATTAAAATGCGAATTAATCGATTAAAATAACTAAGAGGATTTTTCCAAAGTGTTTTAATCGATTAAAACATATTGTTATCAGTTAAAATCACTTAGAAAGTTTTATGAAAACATTTTGCAGTATTTTAATCGATTAAAAGGCGAAATAATCGATTAAAACAATTTAAAGGATTTTTTACTCGATATAAACGTTGTCGTATCAGTTAAAACAAATCTGTAAAATGATCAAGAACATTTTAACAGATTAAAAGAAGTTTTAACAAATTAATTCAAGACTTTTAACAGATTAAAAGATTATTTTAACAGATTAATTAAACCAGCAGTTTGAAAAATCTTCTATATAAACAGGATTGCTTGAGTATTTTAAAATACACATTTGAGCAATCATAAGTGCTACTTTCAAGAAAGAATCGCGCAAGTTTTGTGAATTTTTTCGTAGCTCTTTCTTAAGGCAAATTTTGCATTCTTTTTGTGAAGAAACTCATTCTACAGAGCTGCATAAACCTGGTTTGAGTGTTCTAGTTTCTTCTCTTTGTTTCTTTACTTTTCTTTACTGTATTTTGGGTGTCTGGAAGTGTGGGCACTGGTTTCTGTGGCTGAAATTTGGCTGCAGGGTTGTTCAAGAATTGGAAGTTGGTTCTTGGTGAAGGTTTAGGTGCAAAGACTGGAATTTTGGTTCTTGTGGTAGATTGGGTGTGTGATTGGAATTGTAATCTGTAAAACATTCAATCTAGTGGAACTCAGCTGGAATTTGACTCGGAACTGGACGTAGCCCTAGAATTGGGTGAACCAGTATAAATCTTGGTTGTATCTTTCTAAATCTTTCTCTCTTTAATTTCGTTGTTGTCTTTATTTTTTATTGCTTACTTTGTTTGATTCAAGAATTGGTCAGGACTCTTAATCTTTGAAATAGATAATTTGTATATTAAGAAAATCTTTCAAAGATCAATTCACCCCCCCTCTTGATCTCAGCCTACTTTCTAACAAGTTGAACCGAATCAATCAAACTGATTAAACTGAATGAATCAAGTCTGGTTAGACCAAACTAGACCGGATTAGTTCGGTTAAATCGGTTGAATTCGTCTGGTCAGACTGATTGTACTGAACCATTTGAACTAGTCTGGTTCGATCATACTGATTAAATTGAACCGACCCGATCATACCGGTTAAACTAAGCTTACTTGGTCAGATTGATTGAACTGAAGTCTGACACGGTCAAACCAATTGAGCCAGTCCCATTCGGTTAAATGATAAGTGTCAAATCTTCATATCTTTACCTTTACTTAATTATTTAGAATTTAACTGTTAAACTCTCATTAACCTATAATTATGTATATTTTGAGTTTCAAAGAGTTGAGAGGTAAGTTAGTGCTTTGTCAATTGTAGGATGAATTCAAGAGATTTTGATATTGCATGAAGAGTCAAAGCGTTCAACGATTTGCCATCTGGCGATTTTTAAAGGAGAACGAGAAGGAATTACTACCTTAGCAGAGGCCGTAAGGATCATTCCATGGTGAGCGGACAATGAAATCACTGAGATTTTGGAATGTGATAAGTGATAAGGTAATCTACCGAGCAGATTCGCAGCAAAAAGATTACTTCTTATAAAGGTAAAAGCGTTGAATAGATATGAAGACATGGAGTGAATTAAAGTACTTTAGGGTGAAAAAACCTTAATCCGTCATTGTTGAGTAAATGAATATGAATGTTGCAAGGTCCCTTATGTATAAATAATAAGGTTGAAGAAAAAAAGAATAAAACAAATATAAGGAAAGAAGAGACACAAAACTTGAGAACTAGGGAACATAAGCGGGATAAAATAGAACTTACTTTAGAATTCTTCTTTTCAACGTATCATCACATATGTTACTAATTTATCTTTTATTGGATTGGATATAATATAATATATATATATATATATATATATATATATATATATATGAATTTTTTTCTCCAATTATTGAATAATTATGTTTTTAATGTTTGGATTTAGAAAATCAAATTTAGAATAGATTTACCTATATTTTAGACTTATGTCAAATCAAACTTTAAGCTTAAATTGTTGGGAAACTAGTTAAGATTATTGTTGTTAAAACTCTTAAAACTCTAGTATTAAAGGATTAATATAGAGTTATACATCTTAAACTTTAAACTAATATTTGAATTTATATATATATATATATATATATATATATATATATATATATATATATATATATATATATATATATATAATAAGTTTGCACAAAGTTTTGGTGAAATTTAAAAATTTATTTTCTTGTGTATTTCTTATATACCAAATTTATGCATTCACCAATCCATTTTATATAACTATCTCAATATTCAAAAATTGAGATTGTTTGATATTAGTCAAGTCCTCACGATACAACAATACTTTTTTACAAGCGTACTACAAATTACTCACTTCACTTACTAAAGAAAATTCACTAATATTGAACTAATCAATTACAAGTATACTATAAATTACTCAGTTCACTTACTAAAGAAAATTCACTAACATTGATCAAGTTTGTTGAGTCGAACTCTGATCCGATCAGACCGATTGAATTTGCATATTCACTAATCCATTTTATACAACTATCTCAATATTCAATATTTTAATTGAATAAAAATTAAGATTGTGTGATATCAGTTAAGTTTTTGAACACGTGAAATTGAATAAAAATTGAGATTGTGTGATATCAGTTAAGTTTTTGAGTACGACAATCCTCTTTACAGTTGTAAAATCCTCTTAACAGTTGTGTGATATCATAAATAAATGACATTAAAACTATAAGATAATTATTTACTTTTAAAACTAATGTAATATATTTCTAAGAGTATTGTTTTCCACTCTCCCTTTCACATCACTACCAGAAAAAAAAAAAAAAAAAAGACATATTAGGCAGTAACTTGAGAAAATGGAGAAATTACTCAGATTTTTTTAGTCTGTTCTTGATATCTTCAGCAGCATCAGCAGCGTCAACCTGCATCTTGGTAGCCTCAAGTTCAGCTTCACTTGCTTCCTGTTCGTTTCTTGCGGTAATTGTCTTTACCTGCTTTTCCATTCAAAAACACCAACTCTTTCATCAGACAAAACTATTTCAATTTGGTTTGGAAAAAAATAATATCATTCAAACACCACAACACCTAAAAAAACCAAAGGGCGTGTTTGGTTTTCGAACCTGACCCACAAAAAAGGCTTTTATATATCGAAAGCCTTCTTGTACAGAAGCTGCAAAAGATAAGCAACTCCTCCTCAAACGGGACCCAAACGAGGTATTGTGATTTGAAGATGAATTATCCATATCTTCGATTCTACTTGAAATATTATAAATATTACCTAAAAAGTACAAAAATATTCTTCCCTTTCAAATTCAGTGTTTGGAAAAAGATACAACAGAAATAGCAGTATCCTCTTCACAGATAACAAACTGAACCAATTTTCTCTTTTAAGAAACACAATGAGATGAGTTAGCTTACACGTTTCTAAGATTTGATACGTGTCAGCTACATACTCTATCTGCGTCACATACGTTTTGTTTTGTCATCCCTCGGTGATTCATTTATTATTTGCGTGTGCGTATGATTTATGAACTCCAAGATTACCTGAAAGTGTTTGATATTTGCATAAATACCATAAAACCATTGAGCATGCCTTACGAGACCGCAGAACCAATCTGCAGTAACTTCCACGCATTTTAGCCACCCGGTTATAGTACAAAATTTTGAAACGTGACTGAGTATTATAAATTTTTATCTTTATTGAAAATGCATCAGCTTCGCCTCTTTTGCCATTTATTTCTGCAGCTAAAGAAATATAAGGCCTATTTATTTACTATTTTTAAAAGTGTTTTTTAATTTTTATTTTTTATTTTTTAAAAATTATTATTAAAATATTTTTTAATTTTTAAAAATTAAAATACTAAAATATTTTTTAATTTGTTAAATTTAATGTATATTTTTTAATAATTATATTGTATCACTTACTTTAATTATTAAGAAGTTATTAAAGATATTATAACTCAAGTTTGTTCATTTATCAAGACAATTTTCTTTTTTAATTAAGGAAGTATGATTAGTATCATCCTCTCTTATTTTTAAATTAGATTTATGTGAGATAGTAAGTGAGTTAAGAATAGAAGTGATATAATGAAAGTAAATTTAAAATTATATTAAGTTAAAAAAATTATAAATAAAAAAGTTTAAACATTTAAATTTTATTCTCACAAAATTACTATTTTTTTATAACTTTCTTTTCTCTGTCTCTTTTTTAAATTTTTTGCTTAATCTCTCATTTTTTTTTATATTCAAACGCATCTTAGTGTTCCTGAAAGAAAAGAGATCAATTTTACCCGATCAAAATTTTGAATAGAATAAGTTTTTTATTTCCTAATTTTAGACTATTCTGCATGTTTTAGGTTTAGGTTTGCATGTGGCTCTTAAGGAGTTTACATGTAAACTTTGTTGTAAAAAAGACAAATCTTGACTAGTTTAGGAATATTGTGATATGCTCAATTTGTTAATTTGAATTTTTTGTAAGCAAAATTTATTTTCTTGAAAATTTATGAGTTTTTGAGTTTCTTTGACTTGGAAACATTATATTAGGTAAGGGAAATTAGTTATTCTTCAATTTTCATAGTACTCAAGGCTAGAATATCTGGATTGTGAAGGAGACTTGATCACATTGTTTAAGTTTCAGGAATTTGGAATTGTGTGATTATGTATGTGTTGATTGGTGATGATTGTATTGAATTTGAATGTATAATTGATTTATATGAGATTGAAAAAGATAATTTTTTGTATGAATATATTGTTCTTAGATTGAAATTAGTGGATGGATTTACGATATGGAAGGTAAGATTTTGAATTAATTTGATTTGAAACATTAGAAACGAGCTTATGAGCAGATTTTGTAGTCTGTTACTATCACAAATCTACCCAACAAATTTAAATTTGCTAGCAAATTTAAGACAGTGTTGAAAGTACTTGAAATTCGCTCAACGCTTTCAGACCTACGTAACGAATTTTGGACTGTGTTAAAGGTTTCATTCTGTCAAAATGTTGCTCAAGCACTCTCAAATTCGCTCAAAGCTTTTAAATTTGCTCAGCAGTCTTTGAAAAATCATAAAACATAGCTCTGAATTTCAAATTTAATGTTCTATATATGCAAATCGAAGCCCCGAAAATAAGGAATCAAATAAAATAAAAAATAGTTAAAAAGGATATCTACAAAAAAAGTTATGATCAAAATAATAAGTATAGGTCAAATTAGAAAAAAAAAATATATATGTTTTGTTATAATGTGAGAAATGATGTGTATGTACCTTAAGCTACTAAAATACATGCTATGAAATAAGGTATGTTGGATGTTATTATATGTCTTGAAAAATATTGTGTTGTGATATGAGAATTATCAAGGGGTATCATTGTAGTGTTGTATGTATAAATATTGATTTGGGACTCGAGAATATATCTTGACTCTACTAATCACTGGAATCACATAGATAAAAGAATATGGTGGTGAGAGTTGAAGGAGATTTATAATGATTTAGCCTACAGTATGAAAAAGAATTATGTCTTAATAAGTCATTTAAAAATTTACCCTGGTCACACATAGTGTATATACCGAATTAAGCACCTTTATCTATGCATTTGGGGATTTGTGGTGTGACAGGTGCAAATCTTTGATATTTATTTCAATATCTAGTCTTTCAAAAGTCATCTAGTGTCTGTGTGATGTAAATGTGAGTCTGTATGAACATGTGATGTGATATATAAAAACTTGAAGTTGAATTATGTTATTTTATATCACATTTAAATCTTGCATACTTAAATTGAATTACTACTTTACTCTGTATGTTTTGTATGTGTTTTTAACTATGTTAATCATATGTTTACATAGGAGCAAAGTTTACAGATGATAGACCTAACCAAGAGTAGGTATGGAGTTAGGAGTAGTATAAATTTATATTTTGTTTACTTTTGAAGTGATAAACCTCTTCTTAATTTTGTTATTTTTACATAATAGTTAATTTCAATATATATATATATATATATATATATATATATATATATTAATTTAGTTCTTTTTCCAAAAATTATTAATTTCATATATCTTTAAATACAATTGAGGTAGGTTTTATTTCTTTTTATAGATTATTTATCATTTATTTTTTCTTTAAATTAGGAAATGGATTTAAAAGAGTGAAGAAGACAAATGAGTTGTTTAGATTAATAAAATGAACAAATAAAAAAATATAAGATTAATTTGATTAATTAAAATAATAATAAAAATAAAATAATGAATGATAAAATTATCTTACTTATTATTGAATTTAAAATAAATATAAATTAAAATTAAAATATAATAATATATAAACTAATTGTTTCAAGAAAAGATAAAATATTTTAGATAAAATAAAATTAATTTACATATAAATTATAAAATAAACTTGTGATATTTTATAAAAATATTTAAAGTTTTGTTTTATTTAAATATTTTATTTTTTAATTATGAATCATAAAAATATTGTTTGAATATTTTTTAGGATCAAGATTACATTTAACTAATTTGTTGTATTCGTAAGGTCTCCAACACGTTATAGAGAGAGAGAATTAAAAGAATGATTAAATAATTAAGATAAATTAAAATTAGAAGATATATTGGATTTTGGTCAAAATTTAAAAATTTACTTAGTTTTGTGTTTAAATTGAAGGATAAATTTCACCGAATAAAAAATGAGAGAAATAGAAAAATAAAATAAAATAAACGAGACTGTTTAAATTAAAGAAAAAAATATAATATTTATTTAACTAACTAAAAAATAAATAATAAATTAAATTAACAAATTATCAAAATAGCATTTACATAATTTTAATAAAAAAAATTAAAATAAAATTGATATATAATTTAATACAAAATAATTATTTAATAAAATAAATTAAAATTATTTTATATACAAATTAAAATAAACATTTTAATATTTTATATATATATATATATATTATAATTTATTTTAATAATAAATTATAAATAATATTAAATTATAGATATTATTTAAAAATTATGACAGCGTAAAATTTTTTATATATTTTTATATAATAAATTAAATATATGGTTAAATATGTGGCAATTATTTTTCAAATATTAAATAATATAGTGTAGTATTGAGTGTTTTGTATTATTATTTTTTTAAATAATACAATCTAACTACAAATTATTCAACTTTAATATAAATATTTTCTATATTATTATTATTATTATTATATTTTAATTTATATTTTTAAATTAGATATAATCAAGTTTATTTTGGATAAAGGTTATATTTATTTGAAATTTGTTTAATATGAATGTTTAAAAATATAATTAATCTTTTAAGTTTTTATTTAACTTTTTTACTTTAAAATCAATTTTTTGAAGATCTTAAATAAAAGTTTTCATATATTTTATCTATTTGATTTTCCAATTATTTATTTGTTATTTTGTATAAATTTGTCAAATTTAGTAAAATATAATATTTATGAATATTTCTTGAGATTTTATATAAAAAAAAGTGTAAATAATTTAAGTAAAACTAATTGTTATAATAACCTTTTTATTAGTATAAATATTAATATAATAAATTAAATAATTATTCTTACACTAGTATCTTTAATATATATATATATATATATATTATTTTAAATCAATCATAATTGTCAATCTTACAAAAGGTATAATTATAAGATTATTATTAAAAAAATATCATATTATGATAGTTTGTAATTGAACAAGATTAAATTTTTAGAATACGTATTATTTTTATATTTAAATAATAAAAATGTCCGATAGTTTTTTACCATCATGAGTGTAACGACCCTAGAAATCGCTACTATAATGATGTCTTCGCAAAGTAGTAAACAAGTAAATAACAATATCTATTTTACATTATATTATCGTATTTGTAACATATATTGAAATTCCAGGTTCACTAACGTAACTTCAAAATATAGTAACATAATTTATTTATATATTATACATGTAAGAGTAGCTCCCTCGAAGCTATCTCATCGAACTATCCTCGCTGTCCAAGTAGTCCCATCACTATCTCTCAACTCCCGATCCGCTCCCACATAAAAGTGATCATCGCAGTCCCATCCACATGGAAAAATAGGGGTAAGTATTAAATCATTCGATATAATAAAACAGATATAGAATTATATATTATGATCAATTACGAAATTATCAACACACTAAGACACCTTCCTGAAGTATACCCTAACTATGCCCGAACTCGGAGGCTATCATCCGTGGGCACATTGTGAT